GATCGGTGCCAAATCGCAATGTACGAGGCGAAAGATGAGCTGCATACGTTTCTTGCAGAGTTGGCAGACAGCTTCGCCACAATCGTCTCCAGAGCGCCTTGGCAATGCTAGGAGGAGGCGTGCTGACACGCTTACGCGCATCCGAACGACTCTATCCCGACTGCATACGAAAACTCCGCGTTCAGTTTCACAGGATCTGTATTGCGCAGTGTCATCGCTCCAAATGCACCGATCGGTTTTTGCGACGCCAATATACAGCAGATAGACACACCCTTAAATTACATGCCGCGAGAGGTAGATCTCTGTTCATGAGAGACAAGACGAAATCGTTCTGAGACGTGTCACAAAGCGAGCACAAGCCATTGCGGGACATCCTAGACCTTGGGGTAGGAGGCCTGGGTGGCGATACCGCACTGGTTACTCTTGTTGCGTGTCATCTTGATGTAGCCCTCCTCGCCCCAGGAGCCGCCCCAGGAGTTCTTCACCAGCCAGTAGTCGTCGCCGCCCTCGCTGCCGTAGCCGACGGCGAGCACACCGTGGTCAAGACGCGAGCTGGAGCAGCGCCTCTCGTTGTAGACACCGCCGCTGTACAGCTGGAACGAAATGTGCGAGGCGTCGATGGCCACCGAGATGGGGCCGACGTTGCTGACGGCGTCCTCCAGGCCCGACTCGGAGCCCGAGGGTACGTCCACGTACGACGAGAGCGACGCGACGAACTTGCTCTCGTCCGCCTTGCAGTGGCCGTTCCTGGCCGTGTACGAGTACGACGACTCGGACTCGATGCCGCCCTTGGCCTTGATGTAATCGAAGGCCGAGTCCATGAGGCCGCCGTTGCAGCCCAGGTTGCCGTAGTTACCCGAGCAGTCGACCAGCTGCTGCTCGCTGAGCGAGGCCAGCTCGTTACCGGCCATCATCCATGCGGCCTCCAGCGAGCCGGTGGTGGAGAAGGCCCAGCACGAGCCGCACTGGCCCTGGTCCTTGACGGGTGTGACGACGCCCTGGTCGCGCCAGTCGACGGTGGCGGCCGTCGCCTTGCCAGTCAGCTGGTGAGTGGCGTGCGGACGGCTAGTCTGCGCCACGTAGCCCTTGTACATGGAACTGAACTCCTCGGAGGTCAGGTCGGCGAACTTGTTGAGAGCCACGGTGAAGGTGTGCTTGCCCTCGGCGTATTCGGCCATGTGCTTGTCGACGAACGCCTTGTTGTCGGCATACACCTTCATGCGGTGGAACTCCTCGATGATGTTGGAGTAGGTCTTGCTGTGGGTGGACTTGAAGGCCTCCCACTCGGCGCGCTCCACGAAGGCGGAGGCGGCCCCAACCAGGGCGACGATCAGGAGGAGCTTCATGGCTGCTGCGGTCTCGGAGGAGGCAGGTGCCCCAGTGACGGAGCGCGCCCGTTTTATACGAAAACCTTATCAAATTCAGCAAACGTACGGGCTCGAATACCCACGCACTGAGCAGAGTCTTTGTAATACATTGACAATCGTGTCAGCAAATCAAACACAGGCCGGTGATAAGTGCAGGTGGCGACCCAGACCTTTGTTTCTGGCCGATAGCATGGCCAACAGGGATGCGTGACCTGACAGCTGTATCGACTCAAGCGCAGGGGTCAGCTGCCTGATAGTCGACAGGGTCAGGCAGCACCGGTGGTGCTGACTGACCCGTCGCCGGCACATCAGGACCCTCACTGTCACCGATCAGGGGTGACAAAGGGCTCGTTTGAATGGAGAGCCTCCTGGTCAGTCAGGGAGTACGCATCTTGCAGTGTAACGTGAGCTGTCGAGGGCTAGCACGACATTCTGCAAGCAATCAGCAGCAGCTATTCAACAACCGTCACTAAAGCGTCATGTGATGGCAGCACAGAAGCAATCGGCATGTGACGTGACTCACTGAAGCGAGTTGCAAGACATCACAGTTTGGGGTATGTGAACAATGGCTCTGCAAGATTATTCTGGCATACGTGGCTGAAATGTTAAGTGTGACACGTATCTTATCTAACTGTAAGATATTGGTATTCTGCTATGTTGGACATGATGCACTCTATTTTTAGCAGATTCGAGTGAAACATTACGCGCTTTTAGATGTGACGAAAACTTCAGGCCTAGTAGTACTTTTGCTGTCCTTGTGTTTGTCTAACGGTAGTAGCACGTGGAGTGAGATGGAAGGTTAGGTTCAAAACAGCATGATATTGGGATGCGACCAAGCATGGTGACAACATATAAGAAAAGGCGAAGAGATGAAAACGAGCAGGCATGAGAATAACATATTTCCGATCCCTTGTCATTTTGGAAGTAACTACTGGAGTCAAAAAGCTGCAGAGCTGGCTTTGGAAGGGGCTATTCCGTAAGTTTGAATGGCAAACTTCTAAAGGAATCAGAAGTTCTCAACACGACGAGGACCTCCCTGAGGCGTGCAGGGGGCCAAAAAGTGATCCGCCGCCGGTACGTTGCGGTCGGGACTCTGGGGACGATCAAGGGTCCCGCGTCAGTCTTATGGCCCTTATGTACGGTCCGGGCCACAGAACAGATGACCCTCTTCATTACGTCCTCCGAAGCGCGGAGATGCACAAAAATGATCAACGACTCCATAGAGACAGCCAAAGGCCCAAGAGGTGGCCAACCATCGCTGTCAGAAACGCCCAACACTCCTGGGATGTCTGGTAACAACTGCCAAGAGCCATTAAGGTGCCCAGGCCGTGTCTCATGACAGGGTAACCCTGGTAAAAGTGCAGAAGGCGCACACCCCGTGTGCTTTATAACGTGAGTATTTTTCCTGTCTGACATGCATGTCTCTCAACCAAGTTAAAAAAAAACCCTACGGAAAAAAGAAACAGCAATTCACCATGACTTTCTGTCGGAACTATCGGGTGTTCTAGTGAAGTACAGTTCGGCGTGCACCGTACTATGCCTAGCGGACATTGTGTCATGCTGTATGGTGTATGGTGCGGTGATGTAATTGTAGCAACTAAAACGAGAGGATATGTTATGCAATGATGCATGTTGAAAAGGGGTGGAAGGGAGAGGATTCGAAATTTAGTTGCACTAGATCGCCATTAGAAGGCACACGACATACAACGCATGATCCAACGACGTACATCTACTGGATTAACCATCATGGCCATTATTCATGCTTGTGGTGTAAAACACTTGTAAATGAATTTTCGTCCGGCTCCATCCGAAATATTCACGCTTAAAGCGACTTCAAATAAGAAGCGGTTCTTCCGGTATACAATTGTACACCTTGCATCCCGACCTGAAATCAAATAAAATGAACCAAAAAAATACTTACGTTGTGAAGTGCATTTGTAACGAAGAATATGCGTATAGCAGGCAGCATGAACGGTCCTGTTCCTTGTAAAATAAACATGACAATGGATCCAAAGATATCGTGATTTGCTACATATCTTTATTGAAACTGATAGCAGTAGTAAATTCAAAACTGCGTGCCGATCCTACTCGATTTTCAGCACGTTTCTTTTTTAGAAACAGTGAGTCATAGTTTTTACAGATCAACGACATTAAGGGAAGAAGCAATTGGTACCCATTTCGATGATGCAGTGCTTATCAAACTAAAAATTAAACGCGCGGAAAATATGTTTACCTGGAAGCGAATTCAGGTAAACAGGCATCACGCATAACGCGTCATAAATACACGCGAGCGATTGCAAGTCAGCGATTTGTAGTGCGCAAGCATCACGCCTCCCGCATCAATGATGCCTGCAGACAATTTCAATTAAACGTTCATCGTGCTTCACGCGTCAGACATCAACTATATATGTAAACGGTTTTAAGCGAGCACGCATCCCACATCGAGGCACTAATCACATTCGCATAATCGGCCATGATGAGCACTTTATGTTAAGGTCTGGACACCGTCCTCTTATAAGAATATATCCACTTATTTTATGTCTGGGTGGCTCTGTGCTCTGCTGATGACTTTGAGGTTTAGAAAGGGTAAATGATCCGCTCCTCACTGGATTTCAGCCTGAGTACGTTTTGTCCAAAAAATGGTCACCGAAGGGCACATGTTCTGTTTTGTTTTTAGCGTCCCGCAGGTGTTCATGATATTTTAAGCGAACAGAGTGCATGGACCACCCCACATAGAGCATGTTCCTCCCATGTTTTTCACATTGCTTACACTTAATTCGTAAACCTTTTTTGCCGGCGAACCCCTTGAAATCCAGACATGCAAAAGTAACACTTTTTGCCCCCGGCTTTGCGAGAGAAGACTTCATCCGAGTTTTTCAACTTCGTTTCATTCGTCCAAGCTATGCGTACGCACATTTTTTTTATTTTCTGACAATGGTTTGATTTTTCAAGGCAAGTGGACATTTATGTAAGGCAGCGCTAAGAATTCATCGCCCGACCTGGCGTGTTTCCGTTTTCTATCACCTTTCCCCCAGTGTTCTAGCTTTTTGGGGGTGGCTTCAGTCCCTTCCCCGCACGAAAGGTTTGTTAAGCAGGCAGATCAAAGCCGGAGAAAGTCCCATTTGTGGGCGTATTCTGAGTTTTACGTTGTCACTTTTCACTGCTCAGCCCCAAACTATTTTTCAGAAACTACGCCTCTGCCTTGTGCTCTTCAATCAACGCCAAATCCCACGCATCGATAAGTGTTCCTTAGGTATCCAATGCTTAATCTTTATTTCAACGAAATGACATTGCCTCTCCTCGGACAGCGAGCACATGGGCTTAGGACAATGGCTATCATTCTTAAGGAAAAGCAATGACGCCGTGTGGTAACGACCGGTCAACATCTGTCGCACACGATTGTTACGATTTTTACCATGAACAGGCTCTAAGCAAGTACCACGCCACCACACGGATCGGTGCCAAATCGCAATGTACGAGGCGAAAGATGAGCTGCATACGTTTCTTGCAGAGTTGGCAGACAGCTTCTCCACAATCGTCTCCACAGCGCTTTGGCGATGCTAGGAGGAGGCGTGCTGACACGCTTACGCGCATCCGAACGACTCTATCCCGACTGCATACGAAAACTCCGCGTTCAGTTTCACAGGATCTGTATTGCGCAGTGTCACCGCTCCAAATGCACCGATCGGTTTTTGCGACGCCAATATACACCAGATAGACACACCCTTAAATTACATGCCGCGAGAGGTAGATCTCTGTTCATGAAAGGCAAGACGAAATCGTTCTGAGACGTGTCACAAAAAGAGCACAAGCCATTGCGGGACATCCTAGACCTTGGGGTAGGAGGCCTGGGTGGCGATACCGCACTGGTTACTCTTGTTGCGTGTCATCTTGATGTAGCCCTCCTCGCCCCAGGAGCCGCCCCAGGAGTTCTTCACCAGCCAGTAGTCGTCGCCGCCCTCGCTGCCGTAGCCGACGGCGAGCACACCGTGGTCAAGACGCGAGCTGGAGCAGCGCCTCTCGTTGTAGACACCGCCGCTGTACAGCTGGAACGAAATATGCGAGGCGTCGATGGCCACCGAGATGGGGCCGACGTTGCTGACGGCGTCCTCCAGGCTTGACTCGGAGCCCGAGGGTACGTCCACGTACGACGAGAGCGACGCGACGAACTTGCTCTCGTCCGCCTTGCAGTGGCCGTTCCTGGCCGTGTACGGGTACGACGACTCGGACTCGATGCCGCCCTTGGCCTTGATGTAATCGAAGGCCGAGTCCATGAGGCCGCCGTTGCAGCCCAGGTTGCCGTAGTTACCCGAGCAGTCGACCAGCTGCTGCTCGCTGAGCGAGGCCAGCTCGTTGCCGGCCATCATCCATGCGGCCTCCAGCGAGCCGGTGGTGGAGAAAGCCCAGCACGAGCCGCACTGGCCCTGGTCCTTGACGGGTGTGACGACGCCCTGGTCGCGCCAGTCGACGGTGGCGGCCGTCGCCTTGCCAGTTAGCTGGTGAGTGGCGTGCGGACGGCTAGTCTGCGCCACGTAGCCCTTGTACATGGAACTGAACTCCTCGGAGGTCAGGTCGGCGAACTTGTTGAGAGCCACGGTGAAGGTGTGCTTGCCCTCGGCGTACTCGGCCATGTGCTTGTCGACGAACGCCTTGTTGTCGGCATATACCTTCATGCGGTGGAACTCCTCGATGATGTTGGAGTAGGTCTTGCTGTGGGTGGACTTGAAGGCCTCCCACTCGGCGCGCTCCACGAAGGCGGAGGCGGCCCCAACCAGGGCGACGATCAGGAGGAGCTTCATGGCTGCTGCGGTCTCGGAGGAGGCAGGTGCCCCAGTGACGGAGCGCGCCCGTTTTATACGAAAACCTTATCAAATTCAGCAAACGTACGGGCTCGAATACCCACGCACTGAGCAGAGTCTTTGTAATACATTGACAATCGTGTCAGCAAATCAAACACAGGCGGGTGATAAGTGCAGGTGGCGACCCAGACCTTTGTTTCTGGCCGATAGCATGGCCAACAGGGATGCGTGACCTGACAGCTGTATCGACTCAAGCGCAGGGGTCAGCTGCCTGATAGTCGACAGGGTCAGGCAGCACCGGTGGTGCTGACTGACCCGTCGCCGGCACATCAGGACCCTCACTGTCACCGATCAGGGGTGACAAAGGGCTCGTTTGAATGGAGAGCCTCCTGGTCAGTCAGGGAGTACGCATCTTGCAGTGTAACGTGAGCTGTCGAGGGCTAGCACGACATTCTGCAAGCAATCAGCAACAGCTATTCAACAACCGTCACTAAAGCGTCATGTGATGGCAGCACAGAAGCAATCGGCATGTGACATGACTCACTGAAGCGAGTTGCAAGACATCACAGTTTGGGGTATGTGAACAATGGCTGTGCAAGATTATTCTGGCATACGTGGCTGAAGTGTTAAGTGTGACGCGTATCTTATCTAACTGTATGATATTGGTATTCTGCTATGTTGACATGATGCACTCTATTTTTAGCAGATTCGAGTGAAACATTACGCGCTTTTAGATGTGACGAAAACTTCAGGCCTAGTAGTACTTTTGCTGTTCTTGTGTTTGTCTAACGGTAGTAGCACGTGGAGTGAGATGGAAGGTTAGGTTCAAAACAGCATGATATTGGGTTGCGACCAAGCATGGTGACAAAATATAAGAAAAGGCGAAGAGATGAAAACGAGCAGGCATGAGAATAACATATTTCCGATCCCTTGTCATTTTGGAAGTAACTACTGGAGTCAAAAAGCTGCAGAGCTGGCTTCGGAAGGGGCTATTCCGTAAGTTTGAATGGCAAACTTCTAAAGGAATCAGAAGTTCTCAACACGACGAGGGGCGTGCAGGGGCCCTGAGGCGTGCAGGGGGCCAAAAAGTGATCCGCCGCCGGTACGTTGCGGTCGGGACTCTGGGGACGATCAAGGGTCCCGCGTCAGTCTTATAGCCCTTATGTACGGTCCGGGCCACAGAACAGATGACCCTCTTCATTACGTCCTCCGAAGCGCGGAGATGCACAAAAATGATCAACGACTCCATAGAGACAGCCAAAGGCCCAAGAGGTGGCCAACCATCGCTGTCAGAAACGCCCAACACTCCTGGAATGTCTGGTAACAACTGCCAAGAGCCATTAAGGTGCCCAGGCCGTGTCTCATGACAGGGTAACCCTGGTAAAAGTGCAGAAGGCGCACACCCCGTGTGCTTTATAACGTGAGTATTTTTCCTGTCTGACATGCATGTCTCTCAACCAAGTTAAAAAAAACTCTACGGAAAAAAGAAACAGCAATTCACCATGACTTTCTGTCGGAACTATCGGGTGTTCTAGTGAAGTACAGTTCGGCGTGCACCGTACTATGCCTAGCGGACATTGTGTCATGCTGTATAGTGTATGGTGTGGTGATGTAATTGTAGCAACTAAAATGAGAGGATATGTTATGCAATGATGCATGTTGAAAAGGGGTGGAAGGGAGAGGATTCGAAATTTAGTTGCACTAGATCGCCATTGGAAGGCACATGACATACAACGCATGATCCAACGACGTACATCTACTGGATCAACCATCATGGCCATTATTCATGCTTGTGGTGTAAAACACTTATAATTGAATTTTCGTCCGGCTCCGTCCGAAATATTCACGCTTAAAGCGACTTCAAATAAGAAGCGGTTCTTCCGGTATACAATTGTACACCTTGCATCCCAACCTGAAATCAAATAAAATGAACCAAAAAAATACTTACGGTGTTAAGTGCATTTGTAACGAACAATATGCGTAAAGCAGGCATTATGAACGGCCCTGTTCCTTGTAAAATAAACATGACAATGGATCCAAAGATATTGTGTTTTTGCTACATACCTTTATTGAAACTAATAGCAGTAGTAAATTCAAAACTGCGTGCCGATCGTACTCGATTTTCAGCTCGTTTCTTTTTTAGAAACAGTGAGTCATAGTTTTTACAGATCAACGACATTAAGGGAAGAAGCAATTGGTACCCTTTCTATGATACAGTGCTTATCAAACTAAAAATTAAATGCGCGGAAAATATGTTTACCTGGAAACGAATTCAGATAAACAGGCATCACGCATAACGCATCATTAATACACGCAAGCGATTGCAAGTCAACGATTTGTAGTGCGCAAGCATCACGCCTCCCGCATCAATGATGCCTGCAGACAATTTCAGTTAAACGTTCATCGTGCTTCACGCGTCAGACATCAACTATATATGTAAACGGTTTTAAGCGAGCACGCATCCCACATCGAGGCACTAATCACATTCGCATAATCGGCCATGATGAGCACTGTATGTTAAGGTCTGGACACCGTCCTCTTATAAGAATAGATCCACTTATTTTATGTCTGGGTGGCTCTGTGCTCTGCTGATGACTTTGAGCTTTATAAAGGGTAAAAGATCCGCTCCTCACTGGATTTCAGCCTGAGTACGTTTTGTCCAAAAAATGGTCACCGAAGGGCACATGTTCTGTTTTGTGTCTAGCGTCCCGCAGGTGTTCATGATGTTTTAAGCGAACAGAGTGCATGGACCACCCCACATACAGCATTTTCCTCCCATGTTTTTCACATTGCTTACACTTAATTCGTAAACCTTTCTTGCCGACGAACCCCTTGAAATCCAGACATGCAAAAGTAACACTTTTTGCCCCCGGCTTTGCGAGAGAAGACTTCATCCGAGTTTTTCAACTTCGTTTCACTCGTCCAAGCTATGCGTACGCACATTTTTTTATTTTCTGACAATGGTTTGATTTTCCAAGGCAAGTGATCATTTGTGTAAGGCAGCGCTAAGAATTCATCGCCCGACCTGGCGTGTTTCCGTTTTCTATCACCTTTCCCCCAGTGTTCTAGCTTTTTGGGGGTGGCTTCAGTCCCTTCCCCGCACGAAAGGTTTGTTAAGCAGGCAGATCAAAGCCGGAGAAAGTCCCATTTGTGGGCGTATTCTGAGTTTTACGTTGTCACTTTTCACTGCTCAGCCCCAAACTATTTTTCAGAAACTACGCCTCTGCCTTGTGGTCTTCAGTCAACGCCAAATCCCACGCATCGATAAGTGCTCCTTAGGCATCCGATGTCTATTCTTTATTTCAACGGAAGGGCATTGCCTCTCTCCGGACAGCAAGGACATGGGCTTGGGACAATGGCTATCATTTTTAAGGAAAAGCAATGCCGCCGTGGGGTAACGACCGGTCAACATCTGTCGCACACGATTGTTACGATTTTTACCATGAACAGGCTTTAAGTAAGTACCACGCCACTACACGGATCGGTGCCAAATCGCAATGTACGAGGCGAAAGATGAGCTGCATACGTTTCTTGCAGAGTTGGCAGACAGCTTCGCCACAATCGTCTCCAGAGCGCCTTGGCAATGCTAGGAGGAGGCGTGCTGACACGCTTACGCGCATCCGAACGACTCTATCCCGACTGCATACGAAAACTTCGCGTTCAGTTTCACAGGATCTGTATTGCGCAGTGTCATCGCTCCAAATGCACCGATCGGTTTTTGCGACGCCAATATACACCAGATAGACACGCCCTTAAATTACATGCCGCGAGAGGTAGATCTCTGTTCATGAGAGACAAGACGAAATCGTTCTGAGACGTGTCACAAAGCGAGCACAAGCCATTGCGGGACATCCTAGACCTTGGGGTAGGAGGCCTGGGTGGCGATACCGCACTGGTTACTCTTGTTGCGTGTCATCTTGATGTAGCCCTCCTCGCCCCAGGAGCCGCCCCAGGAGTTCTTCACCAGCCAGTAGTCGTCGCCGCCCTCGCTGCCGTAGCCGACGGCGAGCACACCGTGGTCAAGACGCGAGCTGGAGCAGCGCCTCTCGTTGTAGACACCGCCGCTGTACAGCTGGAACGAAATGTGCGAGGCGTCGATGGCCACCGAGATGGGGCCGACGTTGCTGACGGCGTCCTCCAGGCCCGACTCGGAGCCCGAGGGTACGTCCACGTACGACGAGAGCGACGCGACGAACTTGCTCTCGTCCGCCTTGCAGTGGCCGTTCCTGGCCGTGTACGAGTACGACGACTCGGACTCGATGCCGCCCTTGGCCTTGATGTAATCGAAGGCCGAGTCCATGAGGCCGCCGTTGCAGCCCAGGTTGCCGTAGTTACCCGAGCAGTCGACCAGCTGCTGCTCGCTGAGCGAGGCCAGCTCGTTGCCGGCCATCATCCATGCGGCCTCCAGCGAGCCGGTGGTGGAGAAGGCCCAGCACGAGCCGCACTGGCCCTGGTCCTTGACGGGTGTGACGACGCCCTGGTCGCGCCAGTCGACGGTGGCGGCCGTCGCCTTGCCAGTCAGCTGGTGAGTGGCGTGCGGACGGCTAGTCTGCGCCACGTAGCCCTTGTACATGGAACTGAACTCCTCGGAGGTCAGGTCGGCGAACTTGTTGAGAGCCACGGTGAAGGTGTGCTTGCCCTCGGCGTACTCGGCCATGTGCTTGTCGACGAACGCCTTGTTGTCGGCATATACCTTCATGCGGTGGAACTCCTCGATGATGTTGGAGTAGGTCTTGCTGTGGGTGGACTTGAAGGCCTCCCACTCGGCGCGCTCCACGAAGGCGGAGGCGGCCCCAACCAGGGCGACGATCAGGAGGAGCTTCATGGCTGCTGCGGTCTCGGAGGAGGCAGGTGCCCCAGTGACGGAGCGCGCCCGTTTTATACGAAAACCTTATCAAATTCAGCAAACGCACGGGCTCGAATACCCACGCACTGAGCAGTGTCTTTGTAATACGTTGACAATCGTGTCAGCAAATCAAACACAGGCGGGTGATAAGTGCAGGTGGCGACCCAGGCCTTTGT